TATGACTAATTGATTTTTAGAATATAGATCATGCTTCTCCCATGATTCTGAAAACATTACATTACAAAACATTAGACAACCAAAGTAATATGTAATTTACTTGAGTTTCTGACAAAATGTTTTATTTAATGTTATAAACGAGTCAATTTAAATATATATATTAATTAAAATGAATTCATTATGCAAAAAAACATTTGAAATAAATAAATGAAGACAGCACAGCACATCATAGCACAGAGAAGCGCTCATAAAGATAAATGATATTCACTTAAATTCTGATTCTGGCAAAATATCAGTGCTGATACTACTAGATCTCAGTGCTGCGTTTGACACTGTCGATCATAACATACTTCTAGAGAGACTGGAAAACTGGGCAGGGCTTTCTGGGATGGTCCTCAAATGGTTCAGGTCATACTTAGAAGGGAGAGGTTATTATGTGAGTATAGGAAAGCATAAGTCTAAGTGGACGTCCATGACATGCGGAGTCCCACAAGGCTCAATACTTGCACTGCTCTTGTTTAGCCTGTATATGCTCCCACTAAGTCAAATAATGAGAAAGAACCAAATTGCCTATCACAGCTATGCAGATAATACCCAGGTTTACCTAGCCTTATCACCAAATGACTACAGCCCCATTATAGTGGACGTCCATGACATGCAGAGTCCCGCAAGGCTCAATTCTTGCACCACTCTTGTTTAGCCTGTATATGCTCCCACTAAGTCAAATAATGAGAAATAACCTAATTGCCTATCACAGCTATGCTGATGATACCCAGATTTACCTAGCCTTATCACCAAATGACTACAGCCCCATTGACTCCCTCTGCCAATGCACTGATGAAATTAACAGTTTGATCTGCCAGAAATGTTTTCAGTTAAACAAGGAGAAAACTGAAGTCATTGCATTTGGAAACAAAGATAAAGTTCTCAAGGTGAATGCATACCTTGACTCTAGGGGTCAAACAACTAAAAATCAAGTCAAGAATCTTGGTGTGATTCTGAAGACAGACCTTAATTTCAGTAGTCATGTCAAAGCAGTAACTAAATCAGGATACTATCATGTCAAAAACATTGCAAGAATTAGATGTTTTGTTTCCAGTCAAGACTTGGAGAAACTTGTTCATGCCTTTATCACCAGTAGGGTTGACTATTGTAACGGTCTCCTCATTGGCCTTCCCAATAAGACCATTAGACAGCTGCAGCTCATCCAGAACGCTGCTGCCAGGATTCTAACAAGAACCTGAGCATATCACACCAGTCCGCAGGTCCTTACACTGGCTTCCAGTTATATGTAGATTTGATTTTAAAGTACTTTTACTCATTTATAAATCACTCAGTGGCCCAGGGCCTAAATACATTGCAGATATGCTCACTGAATATGAACCTAACAGACCACTCAGATCATTAGAATCGAGTCAGTTAGAAATACCAAGGGTTCACACAAAACAAGGGGAATCTGCTTTTAGCTATTTTGCGGTTCACACAAAACAAGGGGAGTCCGCTTTTAGCTATTATGCCGCCCGCAGTTGGAACCAGCTTCCAGAAGAGATCAGATGTGTTAAAACATAAGCCACATTTAAATCCAGACTCAAAACTCATCTGTTTAGCAGTGCATTTACTGAATGAGCACTGTGCTACGTCCGAACTGATTGTACAATCATTTTCTATTCTTAACTGTTTTAATTCATTTTAAATCAAATTTTAAATCATTTTAAAAGTTTTTAAATTCCTTGTTTTTATTGTTGTGATTATTTTGCTTCTTTTTATGTAAAGCACTTTGAATTACCATTTTGTATGAAATATGCTGCAGAACTAGAAGCGCTGAAGCATAGAACTGAAGCAAATACATTTTAAGTTACCGTTCATCACCTACTGGCATAATGTAACATATACAATCTTTATTTGAAGCATATCATTAGTTCCAAAGGCCAATTAGCCTACTCATTGATCACGGCTGCCGCAACATCAGTGTCTTTATCCGGATTAAAAAATGTTATCCCAATATTTTCGATATTATTTAATGTTTACAACACAGAAATGTAGCCTGCTATGTAGACTGTTTGTAAAGCTGTTTCAAACATAAAGCTTACATGATGAGCGCTGCTCTCTCTGGATCAGCGACTGCGTAAAAGCAGGTTTAAATATTCCGATGTGATGTCAAAGCAGGGCCGGCCCGTGGCATAGGTGGAATAGGCAAGTGGGGCACCGCCGATACCTAGGGGAGCCAAAATTAGTGGGTTTTTTTTAACTATCTATTTTGTTTTATTTTTATCTATAATACTACTTCGATACTATGAATTTAAAATATTACAAAAAAGCAATTGTCCAACAAAAACATAACTAGGCCTATTTTATTGCTATCCCGACACTCCCCGGATCAACGCATGATCAATCTTCCCATGCACAGCCGTACTTCCACATCCATCAGTTACCTGATTGTGATGTGATGTTCACTAATAAATTATCACTATGTCAAAAAGATTGAAGCCCTCTGGTTCCCAGGGAAGAAAAAAGAAGAGAAGAAGAAAAACTGGACAAAGACAGAGGGAATGTGATGTAATGAATGATGATGATCATATAGCCTAAATAAACTAGATGAGGTATTTGTGAACAAACTTTATGTTGTCCTAGTCTTGAAAGCCTAGTCTAAAAGTTTAAAATAGGGTAATAATGTCTGGAGTTCCAGAGAACCGAGATTTTGTAACATAATCGTGTCATTTTTCGTTTCACATTCACATAAACACTTTTCTCTCACTTCCGTTATCTTTCATACGTGGAAGGCGTATGATGTATGCACAGCGTGTGCGCCTCTGAGATATGCTAGTCTCGCGAGTTTGTTTATAGGAGCAAAGGAAGCAAAGTTTCCTTAAGCAAAGGAAAACCAGTCTCCTCTTGACTTATATCAAAATCCTCCAACATTTTTCTTTGCAAATCTTTGGTTTGTACTTCTAATTTGTGACCGGCGTTTTGTTTCGCTGTCTCTCCGCATTAGTCACTAATCACGCAATGCCGACGTGCTACGTCATCCGCCGGCACGGCTTCCACGTATGACAGTTGGCGGAAGATATATAAAAGTGTTTATTACGTTTGAAATATGGATATTTTTCTTACAAAAACACATGGATTCACTACAGAAGGCCTTTATTCACCCCCCGGAGCCATGTGTAGGACATTTTATGAATGTGCGCGCTTTATTTGACGACTTGTGGACTGTTCAACTGCAACACCTGCTGACTGCAATGATAGAGACTGGAATAGCCAGGACAATTTTTAATATAACTCCAACTGGATTCGTCTGAAAGAAGAAAGTCATATACACCTAGGATGCTTCGAGGGTGAGTAAAACACAAGCCAATTTTCATTTTTGGGTGAACTAATATATCATTAATATTAGTATTATTTGTATATATTCTTTATTAATGTTGTTTTTTACCCCTCTATCTACCTGGTCTTATAATATCTTGAAGTGTCTATTAGGGTTTTACATAAAATCAACAACAACATAATCAACGTGTCAATTAGGTACTTTTATTTTTTTTTAATGACGTGATATTGTAGCAAAAATTACAGTTTTAACAACAGTTATTAGCAGAATACATTAATGAATGACAATGGACATTGAACAAATAAATGCTTAAAGAAGTCAATAAAAATTGACTTGACTCAAAATAGAACATAAAATAGTGTATTGAAGACCTTCTATGATGCCTTTAAGTTGATCATTATCTGTATTTTGGTGGGATTGAATGGCAGTTTCTCTCTACAGATGACGAGGTTGCAGGATATGACAGCATCTGAAATGCACAATTGAGTTTAGATAAACAAATGAAAGGAGACAAACTGTATATGTGAAAACAATTGTTTATGAAGGCCAAAAGTAGTATGTGAGCACTTCACAATGTTAAAATGAAAAAGTAATATAAAGTCATGGGATAGCTGGGTATGTTTATGCATAAACCGTAGTATTACAAAAATAAAAACAAAATGGACCATAAATTCAATATCTGTTACTTATTTAGTGAAGAGGAAGTATCCTTAACTGAATAGACAGCCTGGTCTCATGTTTATACGTAGGTATTAATACGTAACATTTAAAAGCACAAAACGTACATTTTTGTACGTTTTTATTAATGCTAAAACGTACAATTTAGACGTATTTCAACGTTTAAAACGTACAAATCACTACGTATTTTTAGCTTTAAAAAAAAAAAATAATAATATTTACGTATCTTTTATCTCATTAAGATATTCGTATCAATGCATTTTTATCAATAAGCGACTTAGATTTTTAGACCCCTTAACCTACGTCCAAACCTAAACCTACCCATTTTACAGCGAATATGCATTTTTATTAATACGCAATTTAGATTTTTAGATCCCTTAACCTACCCATTTTATAGCGAATGTAAAAGGATATTGTAACGGAAGAGGTCTGACGCAGCAGGTTAGTATATCAATCAAGTTTATTTGGTCACAGAGAGTACGGGTGTAGGATCCAGGTGATGACAGTGAGTGTATAGTTCGTAGAACAGTTTAAAGGATATGATGAGTGGAAGGATCAGAGTCCTTTCCTTTACAGGAGCTGGAACGCACACGGAAGAGCACACACCTTAGCGATCCAGGAACAGGAGACGAGGAGACACTAGGAGGAACACAGGAGGCAAGTAATGCAGGAAGTCTTTCGCTTTGAGAAATGATCAACTATTACCAGGATGCATGCGTTACCTTCAGAGGGTGGCAGGTCAGTGACAAAGTCCACTCCTAGGTGTGACCAGGGGCGATTTGGCACTGGTAGAGGAAGGAGTTTGCCAGATGGTAAGTGGCGCGGGCTTTTGGACATGGCACAGTCTGGACATCCTTGCACGAACCTTCTCACGTCCCTTGCCATAGAGATTTGGGTTTCCCTCGTAGTAAGCTTGTGAGTGGGCTGGTGAGCTTGCTATCAGTCTAGAATGAAGCAACGGTAAAAGTTGGCAAATCTGAGGAATTGTTGGAGCTCCTTAAATTGTAGTGGGTTCTGGCCAGGAGGTTATAGCTGCCACCTTCCCCTCGTCCATCTGGATACCTGTACAATCAATGTTATACCCCAGGAATTGCACCGTGGGTTGGTGGAAGGTGCACTTTTCAGCCTTGAGGAATAGGTGGTGCTCTCTCAGGCGTTGGAGGACCTCCGCAATGTGCTGGCGATGTTCGGCCTGGCTCCGGGAGTAGATGAGGATGTCATCTATGTAGACAATGACGAATCGATGAAGAAACTCCCGGAGCACCTCATGCATGAAATCCTGGAATACGGAGGGGGCGTTGGTAAGTCCATAGGGCATGACCAGATACTCATAGTGGCCAGTAGGGGGTCACAAAGGCAGTCTTCCATTCATCCCCCTCACGTATCCGGATGAGGTTGTAGGCACTGCGGAGGTCCAACTTAGTGAAGATGGTAGCCCCACGGAGATGTTCAAGGGCATTTGGGACGAGGGGAAGAGGATATCGGAACTTGATGGTGATGTTATTTAATGCTCGGTAATCTATACTGGGCCTCAAGCCTCCGTCCTTCTTGGCCACAAAGAAGCTCGATGCAGCAGGGGAGTTAGATGGACGGATGTAACCTTGACCCAGTGCCTCCTTGATGTAGTCCTCCATGGCCTTCTGTTCAGGAAGCGACAGTGAATAGATTTTTCCGCGAGTCACTGGCTCACCCGGAATGAGATCTATGGCGCAGTCCCATGGCCGATGTGGTGGTTGGTGGTAAGCTTGTTTCGGGCAAAACACGTCTCTAAAGGGGGCATAGCAGGCTGGAATGTCTATGGATTATGGATTGATGGGACTCTCAATGGAGGTTGAATTCACTGGAAGGACCTCTGGGAGTTTCTTAGATGGTGATGGAGTCCCGGGGAAGCAGTCTGGGAAGCAATCCTTGCCCCACTTCAGGACTTCTCCCGTCTTCCAAGACAGAATGGGATTGTGCTTTACCAACCACGGGCGCCCTAAGATGATGTCAGCAGTAGACCCCTCCAGAACCAGAAGATGAATGTGTTCAGAATGAAGTTGACCAAGATGAAGAGTGATGGGGCCCACACGATATCGTACATGTCTACGACATAGTGGTTTTCCAGTTATAAAC